TAAGCAGAAAACAAAAAGCCGGAAGTGGCGCTGTGGTTCAAGTGGTAGAGCGCTAGCCTTGAGGTGAAGAGCTGAGGGACAGCGCCCAGCGCCCAGTGCCCAGGCCCAGAGTTCAGGCCCACAACCGGACCCAAAAAAAAAAAAAAAACTAGCTTCTAAAACTACCCCTTACAATACCTCCCAGAACTGTACATGCTAAAATTTATGCAAAAAACAAAACAGCAAAGTTTATTAGAATTAGATCAAAACTGACTGCAAAACAGACTCTACAGGGCCTCCACTAGAAGTCAAATGCTCAGTTTTGGAGCATAATTTTATTTTTTTTTATTTTTTTTGGTGGGTCCTGGGGGCTTATACTCAGGGCCTGGGCACTGTCCCAGAGCTTCTCTGTGCTCTACCACTTGAGCCACAGCACCACTTCTGGCTTTTTCTGTTTATGTGGTACTAAGGAATCGAACCCAGCGGCTCATGCATGCAAGGCAAGCACTCTACCACTGAGCCACCTTCCCAGCTCTAATGTGTTAGTATAACCAAGATGAGAAGTCTGGACTAGGGACATTTTTTGCAACATTGAAAGAGAAACACAAATATATCAGAGATAGTCTTCAAGGATTTAAGAAACAATGTTGCCAGGAGCCAGTGGCTCACATCTGCAAAACTAGCTACTCAGGTGGCTGAGATCTAAGGACTGTGGTTCAAAGTCAGCCTGGACAAGAAAGTTTGTGAGACTATTACCTCCAATTAACCACCAAAAAGCCAGAAGTGGAACTGTAGTTCAAGTGGTGGAGTACAAACCTTGAGCAAAGAAAGCTAAGGGAGGGGCTGGGAAGGTGGCTCCGTGGTAGAGCGCTTGCCTCGCATGCTCAAGGCCCTGGGTTCAATTCCTCAGCACCACATAAGCAAAAAGAAAAAACCCGGAAGTGGTGCTGTGGCTCAAGCGGTAGTGCGCTAGCCTTGAGCTGAAGAGCTGAGGGACAGCGGCCAGGCCCAGAGTTGAGACCCCACGACTGGACCCAAAAAAAAAAAAGAAAGAAAGCTAAGGGATTATATCCAGTTCCTGAGTTCTAGCCCTAGTACTAAGACCAAAAAGAAACAATGACACTTAAAAAGTGACATGGGTAGATGCAATTGTTTGGATCTTAAATTTTGCCACAAGCCAATGAGTTAAAGACTTGGTCCCCAGGGTGGTACTACTGGAGGTGACGGGACCTTTGGGAGGCTGGAACCAGTAAAGGAATGTAGGTTATTGAAGATGCGTCTTAAAGGAAACAGTAAGGTGGGAGATGTATTTACAGTGATAGTGAGACCTATGTTCCCTATACAAAACAACTGTGAAGTTGAAACATGATCATCCTGAATCATTCTCAGAATAAATAATAGAAATAGACAAACAATATATTCTCAACTTCTCTTTCCCTTCCTCCTCCTCCATGTTCTTCCACTTTCCCGTTGCACCCCCTCTCTCTGTTTGAGACAGGGCCTCATTATGTAGCTCAGAACTCACCATGTGTCCCAGGCTGACCTTCATTTGTGATCCTCCTGCTTCAGCTTCCCATATGCTGGGATCACAAGCATGTTCTCCCATGCCCCGCTTCCCTGACTCTCTTTTGCTTCCTGGCAATGGGGTGAGCAAGTTTTTGGTCCACTATGTGTGCTCACTATGTGTGGTCTCACTATGCCGTGCTGTCTCACCACAGGCCCAAAGCATGGATTAGAATCTCTTTATAAATTAGCTCAGATATTCTGTTATAGCAATAAAAAAAAAAAAGCTCAATAACACAGTGAACATTTAAATTTGATATACTGAGAAGGAAGTGAAGAAAATGCTGGCAACAGCAGATAAATACAGCCAGAGAGGCTAAAGAGGCAATTAAGGAGATGTTAGGTAATTAGAAAGTGAGGTAATATTGAGGAACTATTGTTTCCAGAATGAAAACAAATAGTATCATGGTTCTCAGTGGCTCATGACTATCATCTTATCTACTCAAGAAGCAGATAAGATATTGGGAGGATTGTAGTTTGAGACCAATCAGGCAAAAAAGATCTCAGCTCAATCAGTAGTCTGGGCATGAGCTCAGCCTGGGTAAAAAAGTTCCTAAGAACCCATTTTACCAGAGGGGGGGAAAAATGGGCATAGGGATGTGCTCCTGTTATCCCAACCAAATTAGTATGTGTATACATAGTTCTGTGGTCCAGCCTGGCCCAGACAAAAAGAGATACTCTGGGCTGGGAAGGTGGCTCAGTGGTAGAGCGCTTGCCTTGCATGCTCGAGGCCCTGGGTTCGATTGCTCAGCACCATATAAGCAAAAAGAAAAAAGCTGGAAGTGGTGCAGTGGCTCAAGTGGTAGAGCGTTCGCCTTGAGCTGAAGATCTGAGGGACAGCGTTCAGGCCCATAGTTCAGGCCCCACAACCGGACCCCCCCCAAAAAAAAGAGATACTCTGGTCCAAACAAAAAGGGCTACAGGTGTAATTCAAAGTAACAGTCTACCAATCTAGTGTGAAACCATGAGTTCAAACACCACTACTACCAGAAAACACCACAGCAGCAGCAGCCACCACCAAAATACACGTCTTGCCACATTTCCAAAAGTACATGAATGGATTTTTAACAATCACAAATCGATAACATTGCCATCATAGTCAACTTTTAGTTTGGTTTTATGGATGTTTATTCCAGTTTGCTTATTGTGACAGTCTTGCTATGTAGTTTGGGCTAGCCTTAAATTTACAACCCTCACTCATACCTCAGATACTGGGATTAAAAGGAGACAATAGCAGTCATTTCTGAATGGTACATTTCTAAAGATCAGTCACACTAATATTAAAATTAATATTGAAAAAAAAAGCTCAAGCATGGGAGAACATGCTTGTGATCCCAGCACATGTGAAGCTGAACAAGAGTACCTTTTTATGTAATTGTAACATCCCTGTACATCACCTTTATAATAACAATAAAAAAATTTTAAGAGTATTTTTGGGGGAAAAAGACATATAAATCAAAGGAGCAGAACACAAAGCCCAGAAACAGTATTATCATTTTAATAAAGCTTTTATTCTATATAAGTGATAAGGTAAGCAGAGCACTAGTGGCTCATGCATATAATCCTAGCTACTCAAGAGGCCGAAATCTGAGGATCATGGTTTTAAGCCATTTCAGAGATGAAAGTCCGTGAGACCTTCATCTCCAAATAACCACTAAAAAAACAGATGTGCAAGTGTGACTCAAGTGGTAGAGCAACAGCCTTGAACAAAAAACTCAGGCTCAGTGCCCAGGCCCTGAGTTCAAGCCCCAGGACTAGTATTAAAAAAAAAAAAAAAA